CACCACAAGGCATTTACAATCATATATACATATATACTATATGGTTACCTTTTTCTCTAACAAGCTATGTTATAAGCAACAGACAAAACAAGAACTCAAGCCTTATACTACTGCAATATGGCACAGGTGACAGAGTGAGGGGCAGATGTCCCACACTTCTAGGTATAGATACAGACTCTTGCTTTGTTTGATAAGACAAACGCAGACCAAGAGCGAAAAACTGAAATAACTGACAGACTTTTAAATACATCTAAAAAAAGTAAAACCCCAGAACTCTTTTCACCCTACACTCCCATGCCAAAGCTAAACAACTACTCTACAAGCCATTGCCCAGACAGGCAATGAGGGAAGGGAAAGGGGAGATTTTTCATAGAATGAACCTCAATATTTCTTATGTACCTAAGTGTCCACAAATAGATTTAGGTACAAATGAAGTAACAACAAAAAGATTAAAAATTTTATATTTACATTTTAAAGTATATACATACAGCACCCCTCTGGGTAGAATAGAATTAGAAAATCTATGCTACTCTACAACTATTGCCCACAGAGGCAATGAGGAAAAGGGAAAAGAGGAAGTTTTCATACATCCGGACCTCCACGTCTCATTAGGTACTTTTATGCCCATGTAAAGGATTCAGTACCAAATGAAATAACACAGTATAGTAACAAAATTATTTATATTTGTAGAGAATATATTTCTCGCCCTTAGTCCCCACTAAAGCTAAGAGAAAAAACTGAAAAGAAAAACCTACTCATAGAGGTAGAATAGGGATGGGACACTAAATTCAGAGCTCTACAGTTCATCAGGATAGGTACCCAATGAAATGCAGTGACTAAGAAGCAAGAGCACCTAGGGAAACACATAGGAAAAGCAGATGCCAGCTCCTCAGCCCCCAGGAGCAGCTCCAAATCATTGTCAATGCTACTAGATACTCACTGCATGACCAACGTAACAGAAGAAAGAAACCTCTTAGAGATCCCTAACTTTACTCATAAATCAATAGAAAGGACAGGGAAAGCAAGGAAGTAAAAACACAGCAACATGTTTATACACTTGAAAAGTATATACTCTGCCCCCAAACTACTTTTTGAACCTATCAAAAACCAACCAACCAAACAACAACCACCAGAAACCCAAACCCAACTTTCAAACACTCAAAATACTTTAACAAGTATTGTACCCAGGCAATAAAGGGAAAGAGAGCTCTGTTATACATTTGAACTCCATGGTACATTGGGGACCTTCCACTCTGACCACTCAGTGAATTAACACAATACAGTAGTAAGAACATATATACAGACATTAAGTACATTTCCCTCCATCTTCCACTCAGATAGCCATTCTATTAGCTATCAGGCTGTAAGAGGTGAGAAGAAGAGAGGGCTGTTCACATGTAGTCTTCCACATTTCATCAGGTATTTTCACATGTGTTTGAAGAGCATAGGACCTAATGAATTAGTAATAAAAGGCCATAGCAAGCACTACTCTACTCTTCCACAAAGTTATTGCCTTAAGAGGCAACAAGAAAAAGGGAAGAATCTGTCACACTCAATGATAATGGTAATTAAGTGTCTATGTGACAAGTCTAAGTGAAATACAAAGTGGCATTGCATTTATAACATGTTTGAAAGGATAAGAGACAGTCTAAGTTCCTAAGACTAGAACAAAACAATAAGTACTACTACTATTCTGTTATTGCCAAACATCTGTGTGACCTTGCATGGTTTATGTACATGTCTACAAGAAAAATGTACAGAGGGCAGCATTAAAAAAGTCCTAAATAACAGCAAAACTATTTCTACACACTCTTAAAAGAAGCTACATTGTTCCCCTCTTGAAACCCACATTGTTTCAAAACTTAAAATCAAATTATTCTATTACTCTTGCCTACAGTAGCCAATATGGGAAGAGGAGAGATTATCAGAAAGTGGTACTTTACTCTTTCATTAACAGGACAAAAATTATAAAATATAAAAGCACCTAAAAATACATGTATATATTTCAAAATATATATCAGCCTCCCCCCCAAAAAAAAAACCTTACAAACTCTCTAAAAGTCGATCACTTATTCTACTAGTTATTGACTAACCAGGAAAAAAGGGATGGAAAAAGAGTAATCTGTCATTGCTTTGGGATCTTATTTTTCATTTGGTACTTTTTTGATATTTTAGAGATTAAAGAACAAAATAAAAGAACAACAACAACAAAACCCAGCAAAAATATATACCTGAGTTTCAAGAAATACAAATGTAAGGAGACAGAACATTTCCAGAAAAGAGAATTAATTCCACATAAACAAAAATAAGGCAAAGGTGAGAAAACCTACATTATACCCATGGTCCCAATTCTTAGAGGCCTATGTAAAGCAATCCATTCCTAACTGTAATCTCATTACACTCCTTGGCAACAAAACACCTGAGACATACCGTGCCATCCTGGAAACTCACCGAACACAACATGGTCTTATATAAGTGCTCAGACTTGGCTGAAGATTATCATTTCAGGTGCTTTAGATTAAGTAACCATCTTTAAAATCCAAATTAACAACAGACTAACAATCATGCAACAACACAAGACTTAATTTTAATTTCTTGCTTCCCAATAATCAGAGAGGATTGTTGGGTACTCAGTAAATCTCATGCAGCTGGATTTGTTTTTTGTTTTTTTTTTCTTACCCAGGACTCTTCTAGCAGCTTTTGCTCTAATGGTGGCTAAAATCTCATAAAATAAAAACACATATGGCAAAGAAAATTAAGTAGAACCTGTAATAGCAAGAATGTCTGTGACTGAAGCAACGACAAATACAATGAGACAGAAGAAGGCATTAAGCTTCTGGGGTGCAGGGACTGCCACTACTTTATTATAGCTAACTTCATAGTAGCAAAATAAACTTGTCTCCTCCAATTCCTAGCTTTAATAAACTCTCAGATCTCCAAATCAACTCGTTCTCAAGTCTAGATTTCCAATTCTATCTTTCCTAATAATCAAGATGTACCTTTCACATTACATTCAAGAACACCCTTTCTTTGTAGTGAGCAGAATGCTCATTCAACTGCTATCCAATGATGTCAGGTATTTGTGTGTTTATACCCAAAGCACAAGCTGACGTCTGTGCTTCAATCTTCCTTCCTAAAAGTAGAAAGAAAAGAACTTCTCAAACTATAAATACTATCTCTCAGCCTTATTGCCCTGACTTTGAGTTAGCTAAGAAGCTGCACATAAACATGAAGACATACAGAATTCTGTGGGCAAATTAAGAGGCCTAACAAAATTTTTAAAAAGTCAGGTGAAGGTTATAGGTAAGACTTAAAATACTCCTGTATCCTGGGAACAAGCAGCTACTAAGAGCACTGGATCAAGAATTACCTCTTCTTAAGCCCACATCCTTGTAAGGTTTAATTTACAACACGGCACACCACAAACATTCACATTCATACATGGAAAAAAGTGTCATTTAAGACAAGATTTGCCATATGCAGAATTACAAAGACTTTAAGATCAACACCAAGATGGGCAGGTAAATCTCAAGATTGAACTGATCTTGAGAAGTAGCAAACGTTAAACTCTGTTATCAAAGTATAATTTAGTAATATAAGATGGTAAAAAATAAAAAGGGACAACCAAAGCCCACAAGAATATTTTTCCTTCACTCTAAAAATATAAAACCCTACTAACTTTCAGTATCAACTGAACTGTCATACATTTACCAAAAACACAAGGGGAGTAGACATCTATAATAACCTATTTCACTAAAATATCAAGATGATTTTATGATTCTCAGGAATAACATTTTCTACTAAAAAGACAAAAACAAACAAAAAAAAATGTTTAGAAAAGACTAAATTGGGAGCAAACTCTAGGATTAAAGCAGGCTATTTTTCAGCTTGTCAGCCATTAAAATTTTGTTATATAAAAATATTCTCATAAAATAAACTATAACTTTGTATATAACTCCACATATTTTAACTTTACAACAGCTGAATTAAAAAAAAAAGTGGCCTTTCTATGGTCTGACTCTGTGAAGTGTTTTCAGTGTTCACAAATGAATAATTCCCTTTTTATGTACACAGACACTGTTTTCAAACAAAATATAGAATTCTCATGAGTTATTAAGAAGAAAGCTTCTCTCCTAAGAATCAAAGAAACACAACAATCTAGGAATAAGTCTGCATAGCTCAAAAAATTCAAGTACAATACTTCTTCAGAAGGAGTGAAAGGGCCCACATTCTGCTCTGGGTTCCTCCCTCACTTGTCCTCTGCTTGATCCTGGGCCACTCTGTTTAAAGTAGTTTGGCCATGATAAATGAAACAAAAAACAAAAAAAAACCAAACCCCACTAAATCTATAATTTTTTTCAACTAAACAAAAGCACTGTTTTTAACAGTGAAAAAAGAATTCACAGCCCACCATATTTTCAACTTCCTCCTGATCCACATTCTCATTGTTCCTTTAAGGTACTATGGTGAACTTCAAAATAAAAAGCTTTAATTTCTTGAAGAACCTATTTAAGAAATGCTTCTAATATACACTGTAACATAAAGTAAAAACCCACACATGGGTATGATTCACAGAGAAGGAGGAACGATTTGTTAGGTTCAAAAGGCAACTTAAATGACATTCTTGGGTGAAAGTAAAGACAAAGTCACCAGTTCTCACAGAAAGCCTCCCAAGCATGAAGTATTTACTCCTCTACAGGAGAAAGCCGATGGAAGGCCTTACCAGGATACAAAATTGGTAGTATTGGAATTCATGAATAAAGTAATTAATGTTAGTTAATGCAGTTCAGAACACTTCCTACATAGTGCCATAAAGATGAAGCAGAAAGTGTTAAAAATTTGGAAAATTGAACTTTGGGCCTGACTGTTCAGCTATTCAGTTTAACAGAAATATGAAAAATTCTTTAGAACCTGCCTATTCTGCAGGAAAAATGAAAATCTGGACATAAATCTTTTTAAAGAACCCCTAATCAGTTTTAAAGAACACCCGAGGTCATCTGTCTAGAGCTACATCTTCAATGTATTTGCCACTGCACTCTTTAGAGTAACATCAAAATCCAGGTGTATCTATTTAACAAGAAGCAACAAACAGCTGCCCAATCAGCAACCTACAAACACAGTGGTTCTTACAGCACATCTGTCTTGGTTGCATTGTAACAGTAACACTCCAGACACTAATAAATAGAACAAAATTTCAAATCTGACTCTTTTTTCCATTTGTGTGTCAAAGAAAAATTATTCATTCTTATTATAGATGGCTGTCATACAGGTGAATATAATTTTGTAATAAATAACTACTGCCTAAAGACATTTCAGAAAAGACATGAAAAATACAATTAGGCCCTGAGCTAACTAGAACTCCTAACAGTGCAAACAACTCAGCAGCAGGCCAGCCTTCACTCAACCTTTGCAAAAGCAGCAGAGCCGTGGGCACCTGAAGATCAGCTGTGAGTGCTACAGCCACAGTGTCAGTGTTTTCAGATTCCTGGCCATCCACTGGATATTCAGTTGAATCACTTCCAAAGCCTCCTGAATACACCGAAGCTGCAAGGTTGCCTCCGACTGATTTTCAAAGAATGCCTGGACCTGTAAGTTCCACAGAGAAGTATTTTAAACAAAGAAAGGCTGAGGCTCCCTGATTGGTCTTTGGAAATAAATTTTAACTGTGTGATGGTGGCTCAAAGGTCTGACACCTAGAAGTAGGGGGAGTATAGTAACATATAGGAACAGCCCTATACTTTAACACTCAAGTATTTGCCTCAACAAAGTGGATAATACCTGAAGTGATCTTAAAAACAAAAGCAATCTTTTCTTCCCTGCTGGTGTCTTTACTACTTTGTCTATATGTCTTCTTTCCTAATTATTTCTTAAAATAGAAAAAGAACTCTGAAGAAAAATGAGTCAATCTAACATTAGGCTTGATAAATAAATTCACATTTTTGAATGGGATTCCTCAAAATAATTTTATTACTACTTAAATTATTTGTATTGAGGAGACAGCAAGTAGTACCGAGAATGGAATCAGAATTCTATCTCCTTGCTATACATGCAATCATTTAAAATAATATCAATGCAGAATCATTACAATTTATGAAAGAAGATAGAAGGGACTAGAATTCACATGAAAAGCCTCCACTTCACTTCAACAGAGGAGCATTGCAATTTCCCTGCTAGCATTTTGTCCAACCAACCTCAGATAAATGTGTCTTTGTTGAAAATAAGTGAGTAGATCCAGCAACAATACTTTGTATGGTATAGGAGCCCAGATGGAACCTGAAGAAACACAAATATAAGAGAAAAAAAAAATGAAGCAGCTGCTGACATCCAAAGCACTGTTCTAGAGCATGAAGGAAATGCTTTAATGTGCAGGCATAGTAGGGTCTTCCTCTTGGAAATGCAGCCCAGAAACTGGGGCAGCTTTACACACTGCTGCTGGGCAGGAGAGGAGGTAGGGGCTTGGGATATTCTGATAGAATTTTAATTTGGTTTTCAATAATTATCTATATCCAGAAAAATCATTATTGCTTTAAGAGAAGAAGAAAACACCTATATGTGCTATCTAGCTGATGTCTTGGCAATCAAAAAATATTTCTAATATATAACTAAACAAATATTCTGAAATATTGGTCTATGGTCAGGTTAGGATGACTAGCTGATCAGGTGTACCTGGCCTTGATCAGCATTTCAATGGAACACAATGGCTAAGTGGCATGATGCTTTTAAATATAGATATCAAATAGAAAACCACTTAGGACGAATCATAACCCCAAGGAGCCAGCAAGGCACTAAGAGCATTTTACAAATGCACAGCCTGAGAATATGAAGCTCATTCATTCTCCAAGAAACTTACTTATGTACAAGCTTATTCCAGTTTTCTTTAACAAAATCCCATGCCAGCAAATGTCCAGGAAAATGTCTGCCTACTGTTCTAATGATAAGTGACAACTTCTGTGTTCGGATGATATCACCATCAAGGCTACTTTTCATTAACCTGAAGAAGAAAACAGATTTAGTCTTTAAAATAATTACGTCTGAGGTGATGACTAAACTTAGATTAGCGTTGGGTTCCAATGTAAAGCTTTCTATCAATTCAAAGTAAATCAGGCTGGACTAGGCTTAGTATAAAAGTTAAAACTTGTTTGATTATTTTATTAGTCATGATATACATTCATGTTTTGGCATATAATGATTTATGATATATAAAGGAAAAACTGCAACTTACTACAATTTTGAAAAGATTTTCTGTTTTTTTTTAGGCCAGGAATACTCAGCCTACTGGACACAAACATACAGACAAGTAGTAATTCAACTAAAAGACAAATAAAAATAGGACAAAGTGAAGAGCCCTAAAAAAATAGAGTCCCAGGACCATTCAGGTCCACCTAGGGGGAACAGCCAGCAGAGGTGAGCAGCACACTTTTCCCTGAGCTGCACTGTCAGGCCCACAGCTTTGCATGTCTCCTAGAGGAGTCCTGCTGGAATAAGGAATATCCAGCCAAACCAGGGACAATCAGATGGCTAATAGCCAGGGTAATAACACAATCAGTAAGAGCCAGGGCAATATGGTAACAGCCCAGCTATCCTACTACAGCAAGCCCTGGATATCTTAACATAGCCAAAGCACAGATGACCTTAAATAAATAAATCCCTTAAAGAAATATAGGAAAATAGAATCACACAGGTTAAGGACAGGAATACAATGGTTCAATACCTAAAAATGGAAATAGAAGCAATAAAGAAAACACAAACCAAGGGAATCCTGGAAATGGAAAACCTAGGGAAGACAGCACAAACTATAGATGTAAGCATTACCAACAGAATACAAGAGACAGAAGAGAAAATCTCAGGCTTAGAAGATACTATAGCAGAAACTGATACATCAAAGAAAATGTTAAATTCTAAAAAGTTCCTGACACAAAACATCCAGGAAATCTGGGATACCATTAAAAAAAACCTAATCTAAGAATAATAGAAACAGAAGAAGGTGAAGAGGCCCAGCTCCAAGGCCCAGAAAATATTTTTAACAAAAATCACAGAAGAAAATTTCCCCAACTTAAAGAACAATAGGCCTATAAACAAACAAGAAGCTTATAGAACACCAAATAGATTGGACCAGAAAAGAAAATCCTCCTGCCACATAATAACTAAAACACTAAATGTACAGACTAATGAAAGAATACTAAAAGCTACAAGGGAGAAAAGCCAAGTAACATACAAGGCAGACCTATTCAGAATTACATCTGACTTCTCAACAGAAACTTAATTTTTTTCTTTTTAATTTTTATTTGTGTATTTTATATGTGAGTACTCTGTCTGCCTGCATGCCAGAAGAGAGTATTGGATCCCATTACAGATGGTTGTGAGCTACCATGTGGTTGCTGGAATTGAACTCAGGGCTCTGGGAAGAGCAGGCAGTGCTCTTAACCCACTGAGTCATCTCTCCAGCCCTCAACAGAAACTTTAAAAGCCAGACTCCAAGAGACCACAGATGTCAGCCCAGACTTCTACACCCAACAAAACTTTCAATCACCATAGATAAATAAAACATGATAATTCCATGACAAAAGCAAATTTAAACAATATCTAGCCACAAAACCAACCCTACTGAAGATGCTAGAAGGAAAACTCCAACTCAAGAAGGCTAACTACACCCAAGGAACCATAGGAAACAAATAACCCCCACATCAGAAAAAAAAAAAAA